ATAGATTTATCCTGGGCTAAAGGCGAAGCATCCGTTTGTATAGGTCTAAAGCAATAAACTTTAAACTCATTAACTTGGAGCCATGACAAAGAAATATTCAAATCCCTACTTAACATTTGGAGCCTTTGATTTACCTTCTGAGTAAGGGTTTCAGTTTTTTGATACTCTCCGGCCATCGTGCTCAAAGTCTTCTGTTATACGAGGGTCCCAATGGGGTGGTGGCATTTACGGTTATCGGCTAAAATCTTGGCTCTTTTACGGCTATCGGTTATTTTTTTTTCAGTTACGGTTAACGAAAGACTTAAAAATTAACTGCTTTTCTTTCAAAAAGTTAAATATTAATTAACCTGTATTTTTTGTATTTTTAAATCAAAATAAAGGTCTTCGGATCATCTCGGGATAAAATAAGCCATTCTTTTGAAAAATTTTCACATTGGATCGATCATACTTTTTATAAAGTAATCCACTTCTAATATTATTTTACACATAGAAATGTCAATAGTCAATTTAAAAATAATCTTTGTGAAAAAGCAAAAGCAGACAAGCAAACGCCCAACTCAAGGCCGGGGCGACATTCATTATAACAGAAATGGCCGTTTTCACACTAGAGAAGGATTATTCGTGTGAGACGGGTTATCCGTTTGATGATTCGCGTCAGATATAGGTAATACGTCTTAATTTGAAAATGGAATAGTTTTAATTTTGAGTGAACAATCCGCCTGACGTTTGAAGACGGGATTATCCGTTCCAGGTAGTTTTGGTACAGCCGCCCCCTCCCTCAGAAAAAAAATCGGAGAAGGGGTGTCTGTGGGGAGGGCTCGACTGTACACAGGCTAGTCTCGGACGGATGATCCATTTCTAGCTCTAGTGTGAAAACGGCCAAAAACAAAATTCTCTTGTCCAGTGTTTTTAATGATAGCGAAGGACTGTACGGAACGACTGTCTGCCGTTGCCTTGTTCGTAGGCCGCATTATTCCGCGCGGCTAATGCGTTTCGGGTCACGTGGTCCGAGCGAGTTCGCCACCGAAATGCTTTGACCGAGACTGCGTGGGAAGACGCCGTACAGGGACTAGGCATAGCAATGTCTACCGTAGCGTCAGCGGAGAAAAACAGAGAAGTGTTGTTTATCGGCAACGTGTTTTACAAACAGTGACATCGCTGCGTGCTGTTTCACTAGTGTTTCGAGGGCACGACCTCCCGAAAATTGCAGATATTAATCCCCAGTAAGAAGCCACACTTTCGCTATGGAAAAAATTAGTTCCCCGATAGAGCGCCGGAAATGGAGCCTAGGTCTTGGTTAACACCTAAGAGGCGCTTCGCCTAACGTGCGTACGGAGTCACACTAGCCGGGAAATAAAAAACACAACCATAGGTGAGTTTACTACCTTCCTTAAAAGTAGCAAATCTAAGGAACACTTTCTTTTACGGTTAACTCGTTTTTACCCTATTTACGGCTAACGGTTAAAATTTTTCAATTTTTACGGCTATCGGCTAAATTTTTGGCCGTTTTACGCCTATCGGTTAACCCCATTGAGACCCTCTTATACCGAAACTGAAAGTGGAGCTTTACATGCAAAACTTTAACAGCCCCCTTTGTGGGGTGGGGTGGGGGGAATCTTAAAGGTGGCGCACCATTTAAGTTTTGAATTGATCGCCGTATTATATTATTGCACAGTGTATTATTGGGTTTTGAATAACAAAAACAAAAAAAATATTGTTCAAAGCACAGAACAGCAGATTGAAATGTTAATTTTAGGAGGCAAAACTAAAATTATTCGAAGAAACATCATAATCCAACAGTCAATAGCTAGTTAACATTATAGAAGTTACAATTTGTTTTATATAAAAGTCGTTTCTTCATTTGTGCGCTCTGTTTCCATAAAGTTTTTGTGGTTGCGCAAGCTGATCACGAAATCACAATTTTGAAAAAAATAGTTTGATCCCAAAACTGCACATTTTACTTTATTAGCCCGTTTCTTAGACGATAGAACCTTATACATTTTATCAAAAGTTGCCGTCTCAGTCTATTCTATTCGTATTATGCTTCTTGAAGTAAGCGGAGAGCATGTTTGAATGTTGTTTTCTCAGATTTTTCCGCAGATTGGGAAAGTTGTGTTCTATACAAGCGAAAATAAATTCACAGATTTTCGCAAAGAAAGTGAGCCGGTCAACTGTAACTTTATTTAAATAATATTCGCTCAAAAGAAATAGCTGAATGATTTTGAAAGCGTTGGTCTTGAAAAAGTTTGAATTTGACAAAGGTGGTAGTCTGTGTCAACCAATCAGCTGAATGAACTAAAAACGCGCGCGCTGTCAAAATTTGTTGTTGTAGCTATGTCCACAAGCTAGGACCGTTTTAATTTGCTCTTCGGCAGCTACTCTGGTCAGATTTTTCTACGTAGAAATCTTATGACTCGTCGGCGAATATAATACCAAGTTTGCATGTCATGTCGCTTGCTGTGCGTGATCGGCAGTGTAATGAATTACCCGCCAAGTTTAAAATTACATGACGCCACTCTAACCGACCAATAAGGTGGCGTCCTTAAAATAACCACGCAGCATGACACAGAACCAAGAATACATTGAAAATAATTTTCATGGGAAGAGGAATGGGGCTCCGCCGCGAAAGCTTGGGCGGAAGCTCCGCTATAATTTCCAACATTTCCCTTTTTACATATAATTTTCATAGTTTTCCACAGGTTGGACTCTCGGTTCTCTCTGGACCTGTTGTCGAGGTAGAAAAAATATCTGCACTCAGCTCGTTTCTTCTCACGGCAAAACACCAGAGAAGTAACAGGCCACTGTTTATAAAATAACGAAATGTAGTACGCGAGCTCTCATTGGTTTTTATGAAAACCCTCGCCTTCGTCTCGGGATTGCACAACTGTCTCGAATTCTCCCAACCCCTATCGCGTTTATATCAGTCTATGCAAACAAAGAAAACGTTTTCTACTGCTTAAGTAGACTCAAAGATAATTCTTAAAATCGATTTGGTTTTAATCGTAGATAATGGAAATAACGTTAAGCATACCTAATTGAAGAAGACCTTTAAAAGGCAAAATTGAGAGTGTACTAACACGAAAAAAATAATTTTTTCTGCCTCTTTATCGCAGACAATTAACTTTCGCATAATAGTATAGGGCAACAGGATTTTTGACGTAACTATCAGTTTCCAGGGGGTGCCTAACCAAGTTAGAAAATTACGGAAATTCCAGGGACTCGGGGTATGGATATTTTCTGGAACTACATATTCCATATTCGTGATATTCGGGAAAATGTTTTGCCCAAATTTACAAAGCTTTGTATGGAGACGCAATGTTGTTGTCATTTTGGCGCTCAAATATGGCGGCCAGGAAGCAACAGAAACCGAATCTGTCTTTGATTTTTCCTACCGGCGTGAATACATCCTCTGAAGAACCCAAAAAGGTTAAAGTGATCTTTATTCTGAGAGATGCAAGAAGTTAAAAAAATCGGTAACGCTTTGAACCTACATAAGAGCTTTTCCGGCCGCCAGCTAAATGCCGCATCACGCAAAAGCCTGAAAATTCAAGCGTCCTCTATTGCAAAACGAAGAACCCTTTCGAACCAAAGATTTGTGTAATTAAAGGTGTTTAACTACTGCAATACCTTATGAAAGTAGAAGCTCAGAAGAATCGATAATCCTTAGTTAGAATTTTGGTGACATCATGTTAAAACCGAGAATAAGCTGTTCCCTTACAAATTCGCCGTTAATCGTGTTCCCGTTTCCCCGTAATATGGGGGAAAGCCTCTGACTGGATGTTAATGCCATGACGCAAGTAATTTTCTGTGTTGCCTACCACATTTATATACGTTTACTTGTATTTCGGCTCTCCAAAAATAGGCGTGTGTAGTAAGACCACCGATGTTTGCTGCACCGGTTGCGGGTGCATCTGTTCTCTGCCGGTGGCTATTGTAAATAAAGGAGAAGGACGTACAGAATTCAATGCTTAATGATAGATCTTATATCTGGATTTCAGCGTGGAAATTGCGTGGAAGTTTTTCGGCTAGACTTGTGTACAGACCCCAGACTAGTAAAACTGATTAGACAAAAGTAGAGCTATAATTTCCTGCTGAACAGAAGTGAACGATCCTTAACGTGAAACCTGCTCGAAATCGAAGGGATCAACTCCTGCATAAAAAGCTTTATTGGAAATGTAAACAGTGCTTCCGTGATGAAAATTCTGTTAAACCAAAAACCACAGGAAATCTATGCACAGGAAAAAGACCGGCTCTATGAGTAAAAAAAGGCGGATAAAAATGTACGTGTTAGAATCCTCCAAAGCATAATGTACCCGTTATAAATGACATTTTGGGTAGATATTCTAATTAGAGCCTAGCTAGCTACAAAGGTTGAGAACGTCCGAGGGAATTACCGCGTACGTGCTGTACAAGAGTCCAGAATCGTGTTGGTCTGTCAATACCTATTCAACTGTCAGAGGAAAAACAACAAAAAACAATTTGTGCGAATGTATACCGGAACACGATTAACGACGGCGACTCACTGAGACGTCTCTCTCCCCGAGTTTTTTGAGGGGAGGGGCTTCTGTACACAGGCTACCTTTAGCTACACTGTGTTTTTTTCTTCAGAAAATAAGAACTTATTTAAAAACCTTAATAGCCTAAATTTGTGCGTAATAACATTTATGTAAGAACTTGTTAAGGCTAACTTGGGAAAATGTAAGTTTTTAGTCGCGGGTTTTTATTGTATCACACTTTTCTCTTTATCTTGATAGAGGACAATGGATAGCCTTGATGTAGATTCTAACGCATGTTTAGTAAAACCTTTGCCCACTGCCTTCATAACCGCTGGAGTTGTTGTGTTATTGTTCAATTACGTTAGATATTCTAGATTTTCTGTTGTTGTGATATTGTTTAGTTAAGCCTAAAGGGACATCAATTGCCACAAGCCTTTTTCTTGAACGGGACGAAGCTTGGAGGCGCATCCGCGCCACGCTTACTCCGTCGTTCGGTGCAAAAAAATGAAAGGGTTAGTATCACTGATCGATGATTCGTTTGAGAGATTGATGCAGAAATTTATTGAAGGCGTTGTCAATACGGGTAAGTGGGGTTATTATTTGAACTGAACTTGTTCTAAATTGCCTGTTTTCTGTATTGTTGCATTTACATCCAGTTAAAGGCAAGTTCGTAAGTCATGAGACTTCGAACGAATAGAATGCCGTCCATGCTTCAAGTTTAATTTTCAATAAAATTGTGAGAAATCTGTTTGATTTCAATTTAGTTGGAGAGGATAGAAAATGTTTAAATTTAGTGAAAACGCTAGCAAGGGATACTTCCTCGTAAAATGCGCTTAATTTTTAAATTAAGCGCATTTAAAATCTTCTCTCCCCTTACTATTTCCTCTATGGTTCATAAAAATTTTTAGCACAGGAGCGCAGGGGGCCCAAGTCGTCTGAAAATGTTTAAGAAATTATAGGTTGGCATGAGATGAGTTTTCGTATGTTAAGTAACCGCTTCAATATAAACCTTCCATAGCGCAAAAAAAACTCTGCATCAAAGAAATGTAATTTTGTCAGTCAACTTAGTTGACCCAACTCAACTTGGTGTTGGCTCTTATCTATCTGTTAAGTGGCTAGCTGCAGATCATTTTAATAAATACTTTCGAGCAGTCATTTTAACGCTGGAAGTTATACTCTCCGCGTTTGGTGTCGAAACTGGCATTCAAAACGACAAATAAAGCCCGTTATTTAAAAAAGTGAAGGAGGTTTTCTGCACTCCTTGGATAATGGACATCTTAAGACGGTTTCCTTTTGGAATATGTCTTTTAAGGATTCTGGCACAAATCATGCGCTCTCCAAGCTACTTCGAAAAGTGTGCCTCAGAGATCTTAGATCTTCTTGGGGGAAGACACGATTTGATGCATTTGATGCTGACAGCCAACGAGGATTCAACTGAAAAGAGATTATCCAAACTCACCGATGAAGATATAATTAGCCAGTGTCAGATCTTCATCGCGGGTTACGAAACTTTGAGCAATATGGCCTATATCATGACCAACCAGCTGGCCCTGAACCAGAATGTACAGGACAAATTAAGAGAGGAGATCAAGGAAGCAGTCAAGAGAAACCCTGAAAGCTCTCTGTAAGACCTTTCTCATGACATTGAGTATCTGGATTGTGTTATAAACGAGTCACTGCGACCAAATCCACCTTTGGCTCAGGTTAACCGTAAATAGTGTCTGAAAAACCTTTTGAGGATGATTCTATTAAAGTTCTAATCTAATGTGTCGATGACTACAAGTTTAATGACATTTATATCCTTGCAGGACTACAAGTCATTATTCCTGTGTATTTTCTACATAGTGACCATGCCTCGGTGTCTGGCCCGACCCAGAAAAATTTTATCCCGAGAGATTCGATTCCGAAGCCCGCCAAAGACACTCGTCACTCATATCAGGTTTAGGGCCAAGTCCTGCATTGGGTTGAGATTCGCTCCGTGGAGATCAAGATTGCTTTGCTGAAATTCTTGATGAAGAACAAGTTTGTACGTTCACCTGAGACCCAGGTACATTTGGAAATTCTTGCTGGTGTCACTCTCATCCCGAAATATGGAGTCCATGTGAGAATAGAAAGGGTTTAGAACTCTTTGGTCTGGCGCTCCTATTCTATTTTTGTGTTTGGTGTGGCTATCTCCGTTTGATAAGCTGCTACCATCAGTTTTCTAAACTTGGAGACCTGATGTTGGTAGCTGATATACTCGATCCAGGAAAAAACATTTTTTAAACTAGGATTAAAGAGTAGAATCACCTGTTTGCGAGAAAAAAGAAGAAAATTGTTTATTCTCATCAAAATTTAAAACTAAAGTACAATTAAGTATAAATTTGAGACGAATAATTAGATTAATTAACTTACAAAACGTTTCAATAAATTTCGCTATGTATTTCTAAAGTAGACCAAGCTCGTGGTAATAATAATGGCAATTGTGCATCCTTATTTGCTAGTAATGAAACTTGATAAATTACCGTTGTAAATGGCAAAACGACAACATCGTGTCAGACAGATATGTCTCCTAGGCACTATCTCAAACGTTACAAGAAAATCAAAAATGAACTTTTAGGTCAACCAGTTTCCAAAAAGCATAAGCAAAAGTTTGTCCATCCATGCTTGACCTTTGGTATTTACTGTGTTAGTTATACCTTCTGTTTAAGTTTTGAGCGGATATTTTTATGTTTCACTCAGTTTAGTAGTAGTCAGTCTCACTGTTTGAATTGTCATGAATTTCATGACACAGCTTCTTCAAGTCCTCATTTCACATTGACATTCCACAATTTGGGTCCCAGAAATTTGAAAGAGTGTTTCCCATGAGGAGTAGTATTTTCAACCTCGAAGTCACTGCAACTTGTTTGCGCCTCTCAGTATAAAGTGAAGTAACGAAATTTATGTAGTTCTGATCTGTCTAGCTAATCTCGTTCGAGGGCTGAACCTTCGCGTGTTGGACTCTTGCTGAAAACGTAGAACTCCTTGTGAACTGCCCAATTTCAGCTTTCATAAACTCGTTTGTGTTTTGCTCTGGATGAAGCAGGATGACAAATAGTTTTGGCGCGAAAACACACAAAAGAATTCCGTATGCGGTGACGAGGGCAGTGGCACAGGCCACGATGGTTTTGTAAAAACCCTCCAGGGACGTGTCCACCGGATAAAATGACATCCAGGAAATCAGGAGCACGTACAACGCCAACCCGATGTATCTCGTTTCGTTGAAGTTCTCTGGAAGTCGCCTGGCTTTAAAGGCGTAACCAGCGCATACAAGAGACAGGAATATGAAATAGCTAAACATGGTTGCTCTAAGGATCCTTCCGACGGCTGATCTGAATGGTATACAGGTGTAAAACACGTGTGTCTGAACTCGTATCTCCTGGTGCTCGTAAGGTGGATCAAGAGTTAGCCACAACACTGCCAGAATAACTTCAACCATGTTGAGTCCCAGGACCACAAGAAATTGACGTTTGCGATCCAAGATATATCGCTTGAACCAGTTTGGAATAATGTCGGTCTGAAAAGCGCGGACCAAACGGTTTGTCTTCAAGAAGAGGATGGAAACAAAGGTCGTATTAATAAAGTACCTTAGGGGATAAATAATACAACATAACATCTTTGTGGGCTGAGCAAGATGGAGCAAGGTGAGAACAAAACACAACGCAATTGCGACAAGCAAAAGAAGGCTAGGTTCGCGATTGGATACCCTCACTAGTGGTGTACTCTGGTTCTTAATAAAAACAACGAAAGCCACGCTTGTTACAAGCAATCCAATAACCGTTAGGATCAAAAATACCACTGCAGTACCATCTAACCACTTGATGTTGATAACTGGCAAAGGCAGGCATGCTGTACCGCCGGCGTTTGATTTATGTAGTTGTGGACACTTCGTACAGTTGGGAGAGCTGTGCTGTTTACTTATGGAGCCCACGGGACACTTAATGCATTCCCAGCAACAGGACACAGTGATCGTCTTCTTGGTTCCCGGAGGACAACGGTGACTGCACGTGGATATGGGAGGCTCACTTTCTTCATTAGCCCATTGTATTCGTTTGTCATTGATTGTGAGGTTGATACGAGTTCCCCCTGTCCATGTCCCCACCTTGACATTTTCATAATTCTCCGCCTGTTTCTGAAAGTTCACGATATCGTACAACGAAAAAGTGGGATCACCACTTTCGGTGAACTGCACTTGCCCTGTTATGCCTTGAAAGCTCACTTTCCTGAGTTTCAGAAGCATGGCTTCGGATGTGACGTTGGCATTTTGCTCAGGACAGTAGCCACTCGCTAAAGGTCCACCTGCGGGCTTTTTACACTTGAGTAAAGAGTCCAAAGCGTGTGCAAGGGCATAGACGGCGTCTGTCAGATAAGGAATGAAAGCGTTGTGCAGTTTGGCGAAGGCTCGATCGTCTATTTTGGCCGGGGTAAGGCAAGCACTTTCAGACATTGAGGAGCAGTTTAGATGGCTTCTCCAAAAATCCTTCCACCACGGATTGGCGCTTTCTCGGGTCTTATTTAGTGTGATTCCCCTAAGATAACCCTCAAACAGATTGTCTGTGAATAGATAAGGCCTTATTCCTATTGCTCCTTTTAGTATGATAGCATTTTTTGCCAAAACGTCTGGATTGATTAAGGCTATTGCTTCACTAATAAGAAATGTTCGTCCTTCAAGCCCCTGCGCAGTCGCTTCTTCCAGAAATCTTTTTGCAGGTTCATAGTTGCTCCATAAGATGACCACTTTGATGTTTTCAGCATCTTTGAGTTTCCTCACGATTGATCTTAGTTTTCCTCTGTATCCCGAATGCGTGATGTACTCCGAAAACGCGATGCAGAAGGTCTTTCGGTCATAAGCTTCTCGTTCCAACGCGCGTATGCCGTATCGTCCGTAGGAATGGTCAATGGCTACGGCTGCAATATACTTCCATTGATAATACTCTATTATGTCAACCATGGCTTTAGCTTGTTGGCCATCCGGTGGAATGGTACGAAAGAAGGAGTTAAAATACGGTGAGCTCAACTCCTCGCTGGTAGCGAAAGGACTTATAGTTGGAATGGCAGCCACCTGCAGTAGACTCGAGACGAGAGTGGTGCTACTTGAATCTTCAGTGCCAATAACCGCAAAAATCGGAGCCGTTAGATTATCCATATTTTTTGTAAGCTTCGACTTACATTTATCACCTTGTCCTTCAAGCAGTTCGTTTAGATAATTACTTTTCACAAAGTCATTGGCTTTTTTCATGGCGAGAACAGGTGTGTCGCAGTAGTCTCGAATGTCGAAGCCCAGTGTCACATTTGGTAGAAGCTCAGGATCCTTGTTAATACGCTCGATTGCAAAAGTTATAGCCTCGGTGTATCCAAGGCCGAAAGCGTAAAACTCACCGCATTTATCCTGGGCGGTTCTGACGTGAAGAGGAAGCAAGACACCTAGAGTAACGTTGCCCGGTTTGTAGAATCGCTTCGGGTCGATAGAAGAAGCTGGCGAAGAGTGCATCAATACCCATAACAATAGGAAATGAAACTGGCCGGACATTTTTTCCTCGTTAAGTCAGCTTACTTTTATGTGCATCAGATCAAGCTAGAACTGAAGAAAAGAAAACGAAAATCTTCATTAATATATACGCTCATAATAAGTTGTTTTTGTTCCCCAGTTGTCGTCATTAAAAACCTTGAAGGGATCATACCTTATAATAATTGCGTTCAGTTGAACGAAATGTTACAATCGAGATAATGGCATAATATTAATATATTTTGTTTCACTGATAAACAACCGTATCGATTACAATCGTGAGACAGCTGTGTAGCAAGAACGTTGCAAGAAATTCAACAGTGGTTGTCTTTACACTAGGCTGTTAAGTAAAACTTAAGAGCTGCCAAGTTTTACTTAACCATTAACGCGTGTGTGATTAAGCCTAAGTAAAATCTCCAAGTGACTTGAAATGACCTACTTAGGGAACTTGCGGTTTCCTGAGTTTTGAGAAAGGCTAAGCATGTCAATCAATCTTAATTATGCTGAATGGAAAAACAGGCTTAAGTCAACCTGAGGTAAAAAAATAGGTTTTGTGTAAAGATTTCAGGAGTACCCAACGAGAATTTCATTCAAAACCACTTAAACATAGCATGTTCAACGTATTTTAGTATTTAAACGGTAGATATAGGCATATCTTTACCCCCTAAAAATTTTTCATCTGTTCGGATTTCCTAG